AGCGTTATATTCCCTGGTTTTCACTTCCTCAGTGGTGCAGCTTACTACCATACTTTAGTCTTTCAGGTTCCTTAAGGAAATATGCATATACATGGAAATGAGCTTTTGAGTATTGGTATCTTATATTGTTTTAACTCTGAATGTATTCATTAACCTTGCATTTACTTTCTCATTAATATCATTCTTATTAGAATGTTTCTTTTTACAAGCAGTAGGGAAGAGAAGAACTGCCCGTTTATCTTGAAGCCTGGGAAAACTAGGTCTGTAGAGGTTTGATGTAAAATCCTTTAGGTAGCATAACCTATATAGCTGACATGTTTTCTTTTCATTGTCTTTGTAATAAGCAGTTGAAGGAAGTCCTTGGACGTGCTCTGATGTAGGAGTGTCACACTGTACCACAATCCTGAACTGCTACCCATCTGCTCTGATTGTGTTTATATTGCAAATTCTGGCACAGGACGTCAGACCCATATTAAAATATGGAGAAAAACGTCAGCGAGGAGAGCAGGCAGGGATGCTTCCAAGAATAACTGAAATAAAGGCACCTGGGACAGGACTAGGTATAATTTTGGAGCAGATCAACTCCATTTATGCTTGACCGAGGAGGGGCTGCCAGCAAATGTATGTTGTGATGAGAACTTAATCATGACTAATGTACCCCCAAAGAAACAAAAGGTTAGAACAGTTGGACAGTACGCTGGACCATTAGGTTTCTGTTATTTTGTTGTTCTGTGTCTTCTGGTGTTCTGTGATGGTCTTCTGTTTTCTTTAGGAAAGCTGTCTGGTTTTTGTTGTTGTTGTATTCAATGTTTTGTCCTAAATCACTTTCCAAAAGTGTCTTTCATACAAGTTTACTTGGATCTTGCACAAGTTGCTAAACCCCTTAAGCTTGGAACCTAAAGCCTCCAGAAGTTTAGTTGTAGTTACAGTTTTGGCAGTCTTATTTTTTGTTATGCTGTGATTGAGGATGATGGCCTTGCCAACAGATTAAAAACCACTTGAATTCAGCTGGTCTGCCTTTCAAGTAAACAGTTATCTATGGAACTTCAGAAGTAGAAACCCCTGTTTTACAGGTTTGCCTGTTACTGTAGAACTACAGTAGCTGTTACATGGTTTTCCTTGCATGTTTCCCTGTAGACAGAAGTTTCTGCTCGTGCAACTTGCCATATAACCGTATGCTTAACTGTCAGAAAAGGCACATGGTGTAGCTGTGCCGAGACTGATAAATTCTCATGTGAATTAAGGACTGTTTATTTTTTAAAAAAAAATCTGGACCCATGGCATAGTTCCCTCCAGTGAAAGGCATTGTCTACATGGGGAGAGCCTTACCATGTAGTGTGGCTGCCTCTTGAAAGAGGAGATGAACGTAATGAAGTCCTCATGAGAGAAGATAATAATTTTGTATTGCCTTGAGATTAAAAAAAAAAAAAAACCACATAAACCCACTGTTTTTAACAGAGCAAAGTTTTAAACTCCTAGTGATCCTTTTGAATGTGTGTATACAGATTCCACAGTTGTTTTCTCTTTACTGTGCATATGAGCCTGGAGTCAAATCAAAGAAGCCTGTTTACCTCTAAAACCAGTTGTCAAGAGATGAGAACAAAAAGGTGAACACCCTAGATGGGAAGATCTCCCGTGTTGCCAGTTTGCAGGGAAAAAAAATAAAATCATACTTTGTCACTAAGGTCTTTGACATGGTAAGCTTTCTCAAGCCCCCGGAGATGGTTTGAAGACTGAAAAGATGGTGGAGAAATACCTTTACAAGTCTCTCTGGATGCTGCAACAGCAAGATAACAACAACCTGGAGTTTCACTGCAAAGCTGTTATGACAGCAGCTATCTGTCATTTTGGAGAAACGAAGTGCTTTGCTCTTTGAAGGCTTTTAGGGAGTAATTTGGTTTCTGAGCTGTGAAGAAGACCCCAACAAAGTGGGAAAGCTGACTTCCTCTCTGGTAGTGGCTTCTCTGTCTTTATGTCCATGTCAAGAATGGGCTCTTGATTCTCCTGGAAGAAGCTGTCCGTATTCTACAAGGGTATCTTGATTGTTTCAGAAGATGTGTGTTACATACTGTTGTTGAATTCTGATGAGTTTTATATGCTCTTAATGCTTGCTTTCCTCTTCTCTTGTTGGATTTGATAGTTTTTTTTCAGAAGTGTAGACTGCAATGGTTAAATTACTTCTGGCTAGCAGATTTTGAAAGCTACCCATGCAGGGTGTGTTAAAATTTATGCCTGGCTTCCTGTTGTCTTTCAGGGGTCCTTTTCCACCATATGCTCTTGAGTTTGAAAATAAATGTGAGGGGTTTCTTCTGTTTTGATGAAATGGAGGTGGTGTTTCTAGGATTCTTCAGTGAGGTCTTCTGCTGCCCCTGCTTACCAATGCCAAGGAAAAAAGTGCAACAGTCCACATTTATTTCACGCTACTCATGCCCAAAATGCTACCTCAAAGCTGACTGCTTTGTCTGTGCTCCTTTGCTGGCCACTTTGTCCCATCAGCTAGCAACTGGTGCTTAGGGCTGCGGATGTTCATGCACCTACCTTCTTTGGACTGTTTCCAGTCAAACTCACTTGGTCTCGTTCAGACGGAAAACTCAGTGAGTTCTGAATGTGTTAGAGTAGTAAGCAAGCGTAATACTGTTGTGTGGTAGATCAGTTGGCAACGCAGCAGGA